CCCAGATAAGGGAGCACGAAGTGAGGGAGGACGGAGTTCACATTGAAAAAATGTGGCGCTAAGCCTTAACACGAATTGAAAAAGCTAAGAAAAACTCTCTATATCGTCCCCAGATAAGGGAGCACGAAGTGAGGGAGGACGGAGGGCCGAGGTAGGTAACACCACCGGAGGGAGGAGGGAGAAGGCGAGGGAGGACAGAAGGAAGGAGAAAGGGAGGAAGGAGGGAGGGCCGATGGGGCAGGGGTGAGGGAGGGAGGAGCAACGGTCGAGGCAGGAATGGAGAACGGGCCGAGGGAAGGAGGAGAGAGGGTCGAGGCAGGAATGGAGGCCGGGCCGAGAGAGGAGGGATGGTGACGGTCCCTCTGGTGGGTCTCTCTCTCTCTGGAGGGAGGAGAGAGAACGGGCCGCGAGGGAGAGAGAGAGAGAGAGAGAGAGAGAGAGAGAGAGAGAGAGAGAGAGAGAGAGAGAGAGAGAGAGAGAGAGAGAGCACAGATTCACGATGAGCACTGAGCACCAAAACCACGGATCATGATGAGCACGTGATCATGCACCAAAGAAAAGCACGGATCCACAATGAGCACGAAAAGCATGCATCCACAATGAGCACCGAGCACCAAAAGCACGGATCGAAGATGAGCACGGGATCATCCAGCAAAGAAAAGCACAGATCCACGATGAGCACCGAGCACCAAAGATGAGCAGCAAGTTCCCATTGAGAGAGAGAGAGAGAGAGAGAGAGAGAGAGAGAGAGAGAGAGAGAGAGAGAGAGAGATGAGCACGTCGCGTGTAGCATGCAGTAGAGTGCCGTCGCGTGCCGTTGCGTGCCATAGCGCCCGAGACGATTGAGAAGCCCGCCCCTTCGAAGGGCGATTTCAAGGCTGGGTGCGGGCACGCGTTCAGAAAGGCCGTTTGGGCGGGCTGAACCGGTATCGCACGGCCCAGATTGTGGGCCGCTCACCACCTGTGGACGGGCCAGATCGCAGGCTGATGAGAAAAGTTTCTCATCGGCCTGCGATCTGGGCCGTCCGCAGGTGGTGACCCGCCCGCGACCTGGGCCGTGCGATATGACATTAGCGGTTCTTATAGTATTGTAGATGTAGATGTTATGATTCTGGTTGTTCGTTGCCTGAAGGTCAACACTCACTCACATAGACTTCCAGGTATGCCCATACATACACAGAAGGAAGGGGAGAGGATAGGAGTATCACACCGCACAGGGAGAGAGAACACAGCGGAAAAGTTGACCATGCGATATGACAGGGTACACTGAAAGTGGAATTCACTCCACTCAATCCTCACAACCAGTCGTAGAGAAAAGCCGAGCAGATCACATCCAGGAAAACAATGAAACGATGATAGTCCAAACACAGTATCACACTGTTGATTAAAATCAGAGTCTTGAATTGTCAGGATAACTTCAGTGCTACAGTGCGCTGCCCAGAAATGAGCAGCGCTTCACTCCCCAACCCTGAATAACACCCGTAACACCCCTGAGCCCCTGAAACATCAAGCGCCACCCAGATACAGCCTCCTGAGGGAAGCGCCACCCTGAAACCGGCCTCTGAGGCCAAGCGCCACTCAGAGGAGAAGAAGAAGACCAGCGCCACAGTATCTGATGATGACGAAGTGTCGGAAGACTTCCCGAGCGGAAGTCTGCAGCAGCGCCACCAAACCCTGACAAGATGACCTCTGAGGAAGAAAGCTGCAGCTATGGCTGCAGCGCCAACACCTTGGAACCCCACTCCGGAGGAGGGTCCAGCAGGGTACCAATCTCTCTCGCCTCGAGCAGACCTCGATAACCCAGACCTCTATCAGCCCCTGCGTGCTGGCAGAGTACAGCGCAGGTCCCAGCCATGGCCGGCGCTCCGAAGGTCTGGCTATGCCTGTCTCCTTCCACGCTGAGCCGCCACCACTTCCGGTTCACGCGTAGCGCAGCAGCGATGTACACGGTACCAACTGCCAAAAGCCCTATAGACCACAACTAGGCTAGACTCTACCTAGACCGGACTGACTGACCGACCGGTACCGTATCTGTTTCCGCCTCTCGGCCTCTACCGGACCCGGCTATAGGGTATAGGACCGTCTATCAGAATAGGCCTTTAGGGCCTGTCTGTCCTAGGGGTAGCCCGGGCCTGCTATTCGCAGTTAGGGTAGCTGTAGGAAATTCAGTTAGTACGGGCCTGTATTTTCCCGAATTTGCAGATATGTCCCTCACGAATTTTCCTTACAGATAGGTCTCTCGGTTAGCCAAACAAAGTTACGAATCTAACCTAAGACACGACCCGACCGAGGCAAGCCCCGAGCTTCGCCCTCGGCCCAATGTACAGTCCACTGAGAATCTTCAGGTTTCATTACATAGATGTAGATGTAGATGTAGATGTAGAAGGTAAAGTCCACTCCTCTACCTGCTCCTTGCTCTACCACAGCGACATGCAGGAGTAACGTCAGGACAAGCTTGAACACAAATAAACTGTGTTCAAACTTTAAACATCCTTCAACAACTACATCGGCAAAGGCAGAGTCCGCATCGTATAATGCTAAATCACTACTCAAGAGCAAATTGGCGTCCTACCGCACCACAATGTTGGCTAAGATTCTGCTGCTGCTCACTACCATCTCCACCCGCATAGAACACCCGGCCTAATCGCTGTACTGGACTGAAAGTTGACTTAAATACAGCTATAAGGACCGGGCGTTCTATTTAAGTGAAGACGGTAGGTATTCCAGTATCTCCAGACATTGGGGGGAAACGGCCTCCAGTGAAAACAGCATCGCGTCTACTAAAAGAAGACAGGAGACGTCGACTTCTTTCACGCAATACAAGAGCCTATGTTCCTGATCGTGCTGGCTATAAGGTTCTGCAGGTGCTGGACAGGTATCCCAATGAATGCAAGGAAAATGAGTGATAGCGAATTCCAGAAACCAAGCAGCATCATACACACGAAACCAGATAGTCGTGACCTCGAACCAGAAGCAGAATTGCAACTCGAGTTCCACCAAATAAGAGCACAGCAAAAGCTCACAAGTGACAATGTTGGAATAGTCTCATCATCATCAACAAAGAACCAATGTAGATTTCCTATCTGGCGCTCTGCGACCAGACTACAAATGGCAGATCCTATCTAGCCTATCTACAATGCCGCTGGTGACGTCAACAGCTCCCCGAAGTACGAGCAGATCTCAGCCAATGTCATTCGCCTCAAGCACCAGGTACATCTCTCGAATCACTCACAACCTCTATCCCCCACACAGATGCCGCGTGCACCCAAGGACCACCATACGCCCCATCCAGCACCTCGCAGGCCAGCTCGGCTATGGCTGCCTGCGCATCCCTTGCTCGCCCGTGAGCGTGTGGGCGCTTGCCTGCCAGTAGCACAGCAGCGCTTGCGCAGCATGTAGCAAGTGCCCAAATGCCAAATGTGAGGGCAGGCACTTTCCTAAATGGAAGTGGCCTGCCTGCTGCGTGTGGCCTGGCTGCGCTGGGCCCCTGCCCAGAAGCTTCCGGTAGGCCCCCAAGTGGCTGAGCCCCAGTCCAAACGAAACAGGCCCAGGGCCTATGGCGGTTACTCGTGTTCAACTGCCCGCAGCCTGTGTTCAGTCCATGTTGCGTCTCTCGCCCAAGGCCTGCCTCAGGTACATTTGATAAAGGCAGTCAGGGCCTGGGCGCTCTCAACCAACTGGCGCTGCACAACTGCCTGGATTTCCCCAGTTGCGTGGTAGTCCAAAATAGGCCTCTCGTCCTGGGTCGGGCCTGCCTTCACTTAGGGCAGCCGACATTGCTGATAATAGGGCCCGATAGGGCTTGTCGAGGCCTTGAGCCTCCCATGACTATGTTAAACAACTTAAAACCACTACTACTTTTTCCCATGTGGGCCGTCGTTGGGCCCCCGAAGCTTTAGGCGGCCGAAGCGAAAATGACTGCCGCTGATGAGATTTATCAACGGAGGCCATCATCGGGCCCAGCCTCCAATTTTTCAGGGATAGGATATTTTTCCCATCGGGCCCAGCCTCCAATTTTTTAGGGGTAGGATATTTTTCCCGTTTTACCAACAGCGGGAAAGCTTTAGGCGGTTAAACTCAGCAGGGACGCCGATGAGCCTGCCGTTGGATGGTATGAAAAAAGGCTTTGGGAAGCAGAGCACAAAATCACTGGTCACATGTGAGGAGTCGACAACAGCATTTTTTGCTCTGCTTCACAAAGCCTTTTCTGCTCTGTTTGCCTGATTCCCACACTACCTACCAAGAGGCAAAAGCTCGTAACTGGGCCATGCAGTAGGATGAAAAGAGAGGAGCTTGATAGAGACAAACCTGACTATGCAAGCCAGTGTCTGTGACTTGTATAAGTTGAAACACCCTTGATGCCAGCTCCGCGTCAAGCACCTCCTGAGACTCGGCACTGGATATATGTGACAGGAACAACAAAGAACAAGCACTCCATCAAGTGAGCTCAGTGGCGCCAAATGCCCAATGAAAGCAGAGGATCTTCCCGGTACTGAAAATCGCGACTAAATCGTTAGTTACCTTCCAAACCTTTTTTTTTTCTTTTTTCGTAAACAGGGCCTTATGGTCCTGACTCCATATCCATTCTGGGGAGCGTCAATCCACAACCTTTTCCACAGGCAAGTCAGAAGAGTACAACGATACACATACGCTTCCCTCCCTCCGGTGCCTTTCAAACTTCTAAGAGGTTTAAAATTTAAATTACTTAAAGAAAACGAACATTTCGTGAAACCAGGCGATATTCACAAACAACGGAAGGAGGCAAAACCAGCAAAAAAGAGAGCAGATTGCAGCCGTTGCTACGACACAACAACCGACAACATTTCCCGTCTTCACATGCCGCACGCCAATCCCTCTCCCAGACATTAGCAAAGATTCTGTCCACGATGGCATAGGCAAGAGCAGAAAATAGAGAGCCGATTCCAATGTTGCCATGACACAACCGACTACATTCCATGTCTTCACATGCCGCATGCCAATCCCTCTCCATGCGTTAGCAACGATTCATCTAAGACAGCATAATGCAGAAATACGTAAAATATTTTCTTTCTGGAATCTGGTCCCCGTTTTTAGAATTTGATCTGCCAGGAGTGGACTTCAGGCTGTAGTGTTCAAATGGCATGGCCACGGCCTGTCCCTTGGAGGATGGGCAATAATTGAGCAGGTTTGTAAAAAAGTAAGCTACCCTGCAGCAAGTGGGCGTAGCTCATTTGATATACCCACGAACTGTTGAAATACAGACCCAAGTTCGAAGCCAGATACAATCAAATGACCAGAATACGATCATTCTGAATTACCTGGGGCCGGTCAGTTTACGGTCTTGAGATATCTCAAGGACGTTGCCCTTTTTTTTCCTTTTTTTTTTCCGAAGCAAGCTAGCCTGCAAATGCCACACAGAGCTGAAGGAAAGTCGAATAGCACGAATACACAAGGCCTTCACAAGGCCAGACTGGGATGAAGGAACCAAAACCTCATTCACTTGAGACTGCTGGCACAACCTGGGCAGTTCTATGGGCTCCTGCCCTGCCCAGAGAGGGCAAACAGTCAATTGGCTATACCAACCGCTTGGACAGCACCGGTCATGGCGCCAGCACATGCATGATATGCACAAACAGGCAGCATAAACAATTCCACTACCTTAGGCACAAAAGAAAGCATATCGGGAGAGAGAGAGAGAGAGAGAGAGAGAGAGAGAGAGAGAGAGAGAGAGAGCTTTATAAAATCAGCGACATATTACTTTCATTCTTTGGGAGTTTGAATAACTTACAGACATGTGCTTTGCCCAACTCTGTCCCCTGCTCCCTATTCCCTCTCCCTGTTTTCTTTTCATGGCGTAATGTCAATAGATGTCGCATAGGAGATGGAGAAATCAGTACAGACAAGCGTGAAAGGAGAGAGGAAAAGACATTGAGATCCTACAGGGATAGGGAACCATCCAGATCCTTCTCTGCTCTTGATGATATGTAAATAGCGGATATAGATTAAAGGTAAATTGTCTGCCTTCCAAGCAGGGGATATGGGTTCTATTCCCATTATCCGCAATTGCGATTTGATGAAAAAAAACTGAGATAAATAAAATGCGCGTATCAAAATTTAAAACTTGTCCACAAATCTTGGAAAATGTTTGGCAAACAAAAAAACTTGCTCAAAAACAAAAAAAAAAATATTTCGAAGGTTCGAAAAAAAACAAACAAGGCCGGTGAATTTTCACAAAAATTACAAGCGAATAAAAACTTATCTATTTTTTATGGTAATCTGCTGGTTCAAAAAGTAGCAAAAAAAACGTATACTTATTTAGACAAACAAAAGAGTTTGTTATTATTAATGGAGAAAAGATTGGACATTCTTCTTGTACGTATGAATTTTTGCTCTACTATTTTTACAGCAAGACGGCTTATAAGTCATAAAAATATTTGTGTTAATAATCAAATTATCCTTCAGCCTAGCTTTCAAGTTTCCAGTGGTGATCTTATTTCTATTCAACAAAATTGCAAGTCAACCATCAAACAAAATATAAGATATAAGTTCATATAACCGAATTTAAAAAAACAAACCATCTCATTTAGAAGTTAATTATCAAACATTGATGGCTGTTTTGTTATATGAACCTCAACAAATTCAATTTCCATACCATATAGATTTAGATGTTTTCAATTAAAGGCAACCAACCGTCAGGTCAGGCGGCCAATAAGACACTAACCCCACCCCCGCGTCCGGGGGGACACGTGGATGAGCGCATACATAAATAAAATAAGCTGCTTGTTTTGTTGTGGCAGCTGCGTTGACTCTTTTGGGTGAGTTGCATTCTTAGCTCAGCTGGATAGAGCAACAACCTTCTAAGTTGAAGGTTCCTCCGAACCGTGCGTGCAAGATTTCCAAGCACACGACTATCCATCAGTTTGGCAAGACTAGTGACTGTTTCCCTTCCATTTTCATGTACTATGGAAACTCTGACGCCAGAGGACTCGATACTGACAAGCTTAAACTCCACCACCTTCCACATGGTAACTCGAAACCTCCTAAGAATGCGGCATAATCTACACCGCATTCTTCGGAGGCCGGGCGCCACTGGACCAAAATGGCTGGTGGCGCCAGCCAAAACAAAAACAAAAACATCGCGCTGTTGCTTTGGCAAAGCTTGTCACACAGTTCCTTTCCGCCTCGGCAAAAAGAGGCTAAGTGGTAGTGGTGGTTGAAGTGGGGAGACTTAAGACCCTGAGATCAAAAAAAGATTACAAAGCCTAATGGAATGATAAACACTTTAACCGATAATCAATTGCAATTTGCAATCTATAAAATTACTAAATTAGTATGAATCAAATTATCAAAATTACTAAATTACAGATCTGAGTTACACGGGTGAAGCAAGTGCATCCTTGAACTTCTGAAATACAGACCTGAGTTCATAACTCCCACTGGAAGTGGGGGGAAAAAAGTAGAAATGAATGTAGCCCCCCGTAGTGATCAAAAGAAAGGCGCTACAAAAGGGAGGGGAAAAAAAAAAAAAAAAAAACACCAAAGGCAGTTAAGAAAACAGTCCATCACTTGTTTTCCCGAGTGATCGCTTGACGTGTTTGAAAGGCCTTCCACGATTCAGACCCTAAATTCGGGTCTCAGGGACAGGCCCTGGCTACGAAAGGCCGAAATCAGTCAATTTCAGAAAAGTCACAGCCGGGTACCTTAGCCCCAAGCAGTCACATCTCAGGGCAAAAGTCACGTTTCATAATGAAAAGTCATATTGAAGAGTCACATCCCACGAGTAAAAGGACAGTCGCACAGGCAAGAGTCGCGTCTCAGACGCAGGAGTCACAGTCCACAGTCAAAACCATATGCTAAAATCGAAAAGTCATGACTCAAAGGCCCAAGCAGCAGCAGACCAATGGAAATTCGGGAAGATTCCAGGCCTTGACATTCGAAAGCAGACAGGCCGTGGGGATGTGGTACCGGAACCAGTCAGGCCACAAGAAGCAGAGGCTGGCACGAGTTGAAGTGCAATCCAAGACTACAAAAAGACTGGCCAGCCTCCCATTCGGGCACATTGCTCATTCGCGTGAAGTGTGGAAGTGCTGATGCACTCGTGCGCTATTGTGAAGTGCAGAGCGCTGAAGCCAGAGTGCTGCGCTAAAAGAGAGGGAGAGAGAGGAGGAGATTGCGCTGGCAGGGAGAACGCAGCCATAGCTGCGCCAGTGCAGAGTGTTAGTACTAGACTTTAGAGGGTTAGTAGACATATCAGTGGGTGTATTCAGAGTAGATCCTTGGGTAGAGGTTAGTGAGTGTGCACGCATGTAGGGAGAGAAGACACAGCAAAGACATAGCTAGGGAGAAGACCAGCAAGGAGGAGAGATACATAAGAGAGAAGAGCAGTGGGGAGGAGATACTTACCTGAGAGCTTATGCTGGTTACTGGTTACCTTTGGCATGTGCTGATGAGCGCTGGTGACTTGAACTCATATTGCTCTTGTAATAAGTCGTTGGAATTCATAAGCTGCGCTACCTGGTCTTTTTCTCTCTGGTCTCCAGTGTGAACTTCGTGTGATCTCATACATGCATGTGGTGTGAATATGTGCGCTCAGTGGTGTTGAACTAAGAGGTTCATTGCATGTTTTCATAAACCCATTCAAGTAGATTGCCAACAACTTCACTCCCATGTCCTTCTCTCTCTGAGGCACCGAAGACCAACTGCACAGACAACAAGGCCACCATCGTCGCCAACAATTTCTTTGACACAATCCCATTTCATCAAGGCTTTTGTGGAGAAATTCAGTTCCACAACCATACGGCATAATCGGCCGGGGACGCATAGCCCGCCTACCTGCTTGAGCTGAGACGGCCCTTGATCACTGATCCAATGATATGTACCAACCAGGTCAGCTGACCCTCCATGACCGATAATTGTACCGTTTCTCCCCCAGACTGCATTCTAGTTGCTTCCTGTACCACACAGCATCAGATATACTCCATGATCAGACATCAGCAGGCATTTGATACCATGGCAATATACCGTGGGAGGTCGGTGGATTGTATGTAGAAAAGAAAGCAATTCAATGAACAAGAGAGCCTTCATAGAGCCCGAACGACTGACTCGAATGAGGAGAGCATGATTAATTTCATGCTAATACACAAGTACTCACCCAATTTCATTTCGATCGACGATCTAGTTACAAGGAGGGCAGACGTCAGATCACAACGTATTTTACACAGCGCCAGTACGACCCACAAGTAGACCCAGCAGCTATTGTTACAAATAGGAAGGCGTCAACTGGAACATGTTGCTATGATAGTTTCTAGTCCCTTAGAAGTAAGTCGATTGATCTCTATTTGCACCCATATTCAAAGCGCACTAAATCGATTGTTCTCTATTTGCAATTTTGCACGCATACTGAAAGCGGCACTAAGTCGATTGTTCTGTTTTGTAAATTTGTACCCATACTCAAAGCGCACTAAGTCGCTTGTTCTCGATTTGTACCCATATTCAAAGCGCACTAAGTCGATTGTTCTCTAGTTCTACCCATAGTCAAAGCGGCACTTAGTCGATTGTTCTCTAGTTCTACCCATATTCAAAGTGCACTAAGTTGACCGTTCTCTCTTTGTTATTTTGTACCCATATTCAAAGCGCACGAAGTCGATTATTCTCTATTTGTAATTTTGTACCCATATTCAAAGCGGCACTAAGCCGATTGTTCTCTATTTGTACCCATATTCAAAGAGGCACTAAGTCGATTGTTCTCTATTTGTACCCATATTCAAAGCGACACTAAGTCGATTGTTCTCTATTTGTACCCATACTCAAAGCGCACTAAGTCGATTGTTCTCTATTTGTACCCATATTCAAAGCACGCTAAGTCGATTGTTCTCTATTGTACCCATATTCAAAGCACACCAAGTCGCTTGTTCTCTATTTGTACCCATATTCAAAGCGCACTCATTCGATCGTTCTCTATGTGCACCCATATTCAAAGCGCACTAAGTCAATTGTTCTCTTTTGCCTCCACCCGTACTTCTAACCAGTAAAGCCAGCACGCACCTTCCATCAGCATGCTTCCAGCCAACACTTCCCTGATGAAATTACGGTAACACCCCATGTTCAGCAAGAAACTTTATCACCGTAAATGAGTCCCCGATCATCAAGAGTAAAGCGATTATCGTCCACTTCCACCCCATATCCATAACAGAATGAGTTGCTGTTGGCTCCACATGGCGTATTGGCCCCTAACCCAAGCAGTTTCCCTCAGCCTCCTGCTGTCACTCAGCCACTCCAAAGCTGTGGCAATACATTTCAGAAGACCATTAGACTACGCCACAGCCTGAAGGCCCTAAACTAATCGGCCATGTGGTTTCTACCCATAGGAACATATCCCCCTTATCCATCATTATGGTTTGATAATTCGGGTCCAAGTCCGACCAGTTACCCTCTACAGGAAGGACAACTGATACTCCATCCTCTACGTCAATTGGCATTACACCATAAATCACCTCACATTCTCATTGTGTTTCCTTACCTCCGTCTCAACAATCTCGCAATAATTTCATGCAAATCAAACTCTGGTGGGTTCAGTGGCAACTACACCGTGTTTTTTTTGCCATACTTTTTTGGCCCATTGTTGCAGCCAGAGTTAACTCCCTCGGTTTCAGTTTCAATCATTTTTCTCCTTACGTCTTCACCCAAAGAGAACGCTTGATCATTTTAGCTGTATTCAGTGCAACTTTCAGTCCCGATACGGCAATAATTACCGGGCGTTCTATTCGGGTGAAAGACGGCAGTGCCGCCATGGGTATTGAACTCAGTCGGGTGGCTTGATAGTCCAGTAGGTTCCATGCATATAGACTAAACTTTGCGCGGAGGTGTTGCGGGGCTGAATGCTGGATTTCCTGCAACGAACTGTTCACCTATTCAATCCCAGCCAGTATTTTCAAAGTCGAGCGAGACGGGAAGCATTTCGCTTGTCAGCTGCTGATGGCGAGATGATGGCACTGCAATACCTGATTATTATTGCTGCAAAGGAACTGGATCATTTAGTTCTGCGTCTATTGTATGTTGTGTGTCAGCATATATGATGCACCCGGTACTTTTAGTCCTCAGTACCTAATGACCTTGCCCATGCTGCCGTCATCAACTAAACTCTTCACTGAGAAAACACATTATAGGTGTTGTCCCGGAAATTGGCCACCCAAACTACCAGCAGGGCTGACCAGTCGGCGCTCTGCCAACCATCCACTGATTTTGTTTTTCAAACCTGAGTTCAGGACTGTACTGCACTTGCTGAGTACAGCCCAAGTCCACCGAGAAACTTTTGGGGATTGGGGGTGGGGTATAGGAGGTCGGGGTTGGTTTGGTTTTTTTGGGGGGGGGCGGGGGGGTGGTGGTATGAGGGTGTTGGTGGGGTTATTGGGGGTTATGGACCCCACAACCAAAGGAAAAACAAAAAATATTTTGCGCAGTGCCGACCGGTAGGTGCCTACAGGAGGGACAGTCACCTGGTTGGCAGCTGACCAATTCTGTGTCCACCAGTTACTTTAACCACTGCTAATCTGTCTTATAGCAATCTAATGATTCTAATCATAAAAAATCTGACCTATTTTTCAAAAATCCTAGCTTTCCTATCCGGGCACATGAGACACCGCTCGCGCCCGGAATGGTGCTCGGCGCGCCAGGCAGTGCAACCCCCCTCGGCCAGGCTACCGAGCCCCTTCAGAGACGAGGCCCAAATGGCCACGAAAGGTTTATTCACACCACCGCTGTCTAGCCTGGAGGCCAAAGTGTGCTTAGGTGGCGGCGGGAAAATTTTGAGGGGCCGGTCGGCCCACTGTTTCGGTTTTTTTTTTTTTTTTGATCGTTCTCTGCCATCCGTTGTTGCAGATCAACAGCCCGCGCAAATCCAAGATACGAATTTGGATAGTGGTGCATTTGCCCGTGCGACCAGGCCGCCGTTCCCCACCCCAGCTCGACATTCTTGCCCCGCGCCGCGGCCCCAGCTCGTCGACACCGTGCGCTGCTGCCCCGATCGGGATGCTCCCAGCTACCGTCTTAACCCGAAAACAAGGTACGTACCTTGTATTCACATTACCTCCGGAAAACTGTTTCTCAGAAATCGCTGCTAAATTTTCGAATAGAAGGTACCCTTGAATAAGGTACGTACCTTGTATTTGTGGTGTGCCTTGTCTGTTTCGAATAGAAGGTACCCTGCAGACTCCGAAGTCTACTTCGTGCGAGCTCTAGAACTCCACGGTGCTGTGGAAACGGTGTTCTTTTTCAACAAAAAAAAAAAGAACTTCACGCTGCAGCCCCGTCCTGGTAGTGCGTCATATCCGCCTGTGTAAGCAGGTAACAGCACCACACAGCGACCCAGTCCATATATACATGCTGGTCATTCACCCCATCCATATCTAGACTAAAAGTAGCCCCAAATACAGGCGATTGCATGCATCATCCATCGCCTGCTGAGCTTCTGCCAGCATGTCATCACGTCTGTGGTAATATGGGAGAGGTAGTGGGCTACTTCATTTTGCCTTCCCTTTTTTTTCTACCTACGGGAAATTGTTTCAAACAGTTACGCCAAGTGAAATTTGTATTCTGTTCGTGATATTATTACTAATATTTATTATTTACCTGAGCGGGAATCCGGGCCGCCCGGGTGACCGGCAGGAGCCCGGGGGAGGTCCCGGGCGGCCTGGCCGGGCAGGGCACCCAGTTGGGGGCCGGGCCCCCCCAGCACACTCACCTGACATGGGATTTCGGACCCCCTTTGAGTGTGTGTGTGTATATGTGTGTGTGTGTGTGTGTGTGTGTGAGAGAGAGAGAGAGAGAGAGATGTGTTCGAATCATACTTGCAGCGCATCTCATGCGCGGGGTGCCGCACGCACATGCACGCACAAGTGGTGCGTCGCATTAAAAAAATAGAAAAACAAAAATGTCCTAGTTGTGTCCAGCCTCTTTTCGGAAGGATCCCTACAGCATATTAGCTAGGACCCGATGTCCTGCAGAGAATATATAGTCTGGATTCGAATTCAGGTCTGTGCATGTCGGTTATGCGTCACCATTTCTCTGTTTTCTCGCTTTTCTTTTCTTTTCTCGTTTTTCTTTTCTCGTTTTTCTTTTCTTAGGAATACATGCAGTGGCCCTAAGGGCCTTTACTCACCAAATGCACAAAAGACAAAACATATGGCGGCGTATTATTCCACGTTCTGCAGAAGATTCATTATAATTTTGCACATTTCGTGAGTAGTGCAGCCAAACCCTAAGAGTCACGTGCAGAGACCAACAGACCCTAGCTACGTGAGCAACCCATAACTGCTGAAAGACAGACCTGAATTCGAATCTTGAGTATATATTCGGCCAGCTCGTGCTCTATTTCATAGTCACTGCCTGCCTCGATTTTGGTGGGGGGGTCTGCGCTACATGTCTGCGAGGACCCTTCAGATAACCTGCATGGGCCGTCTGAGCAGTGTTAAGGGGATCCGTTCTCTCTCTCTCTCTCTTACCCCCTTTTGTATACACACACACCCCTTACAAAAAAAAAAGGAAGAAAAAAATGCATCTGTGCCCCATCACAGACAGCCCCCCCAACCCCAGCACCCCCTACCCAGACCAACCCCCCCGGTCCCCCCACCAAAACCAAAATTTTATTGCAGACTCGGGGTTCGCTCGCTGAGTGCAGAACGACCCCAGTTTCAAAAAAAAAAAAAAAAAAAAAATTCTGGGCGTTTTTTTGTACTGCCCGGTTTACCCGGGTGGCCCCCCCGAGCCCAACCGGCTGGGCCCAGCCCGGCAGGGCAGGCCCGGCCGGGCGGCGTCCTCACTCAGTTATTTACTACATACCTTTTTATTTTTCTTCCGCCTCGCATTAGGAAAGTTGCACCCTAAATTCGTTCTACAAGGTACATACCTTGTATTTGAATACAAGGTACCCCGTACCATGTTTTCGGGTTAAGATGGTAGTTGCCATCACAGTGGCCGCCATCTCGCTGCCACCATGAAGTCGGCCGCTCTGCCGTCATGAACAAGGTTCGAGGTAAGTTTTTTGTTTTTTAATTCTTTTTCTTCTTCTTCATCTCTTCTCCTTCGCTTCATCCTCTTCTTCTTCTTCTTCTTCTTCCTCCTCCTCTTCCTCCTCCTCCTCCGTACCCGCCCTCCTCTTCCGTGGCCATTGCGGTGCTCATAGCCACCCTCTTCTCCCGCGCCCATTGAGGCACCCATAGCGGCCCTTCTCCCTTGTGCCCATTGCAGCACCCACAGGCACCGTCCTCTGCCCTGGCCATTGCGGCGCCCATAGCAGACCTTCCCCCCATTGCACACCTACTCCATTAACTCCCTAATCGGCCATACCCTCCCTCCTCCCTCTTCTGCCATACGTCTCTCCTCCCTCCCTCTCAATGGCCTCCCTTCTTCCTCTCCGCCATATCCTCCCTTTTTCCTCTCCGCCATATCCTCCCTTCTTCCTCTCTGCCATATCCTCCGTTCTTCCTCTCCGCCATATCCTCCCTCCTCCCTCCCTCTCAATTGTGTCCCCCCTCCGCCTCAATTCCACCCCTCCTCCCACTCCACAATACCATCCCTCCTCCCTCCCTCCTCCACCATAGCGTCCCTCCGTACTCCATCGCCTCCCTTCTCCTTACACCATCGCCTTCCTGCTTGCTCCCTCCCTCCTCCGCCATTGTGTCCCTTCTCCCTCCCTCGGTCATACCCCCCGCCCTTCCTCCTACTCCGCTGTAGGCCCCCTTGCCCTGCCCATTGTGGCGCCCATAGCGGACCTCCCCCCCATTGCACACCTACTCCGTTCCCCTCCCTAATCCGCCATACCCTCCCTCCTCCCTCTTCTGCCATACGTCTCTCCTCCCTCCCTCTCAATGGCCTCCTTCCTCCTGTGTGCTCCACCCATAGCCTCCCCCCTTCCTCTCCGCTATATCCTCCCTCCTCCCTCCCTCTCAATTGTGTCCCTCTCCCTCTCAATTGTGTCCCTCACCCATAGCCTCCCTCCTTCCACTCCGCCATATTCTCCCTCCTCCCTCCCTTTCAATTGTGTCCCTCTCCCTCTCAATTGCACCCCTCCTCCCACCTCCACAATATCCTCCCTCCTCCTTCCCACCTCCACAATATCCTCCCTCCTTCCTCCCGCCTCCACAATATCCTCCCTCCTCCCTCCCTCCTCCACCATAGCATCCCTCCGTACTCCATCGCCTCCCTTCTCCTTACACCATCGCCTTCCTGCTTGCTCCCTCCC